CATGCCCTGGTCCTTTAATGTAGAAGCTGCTAAATCTTGTGTTATCCTGATTGTGGTTCCACAGTACTTGAATTGTTTCCTTCTGGCAGCTTGTAATATTTTCTCCTTGACCTGGGAACTCTGGAATTTGGCTACAATATTCCTAGGAGTTTTCCTTTGGGGATCTCTTTCGGAGGAGATCGTGGATTCTTTCAATTTCTATTTTGCCCTCTGGTTCTACTATATCAGGGCAGTTTTCCTTGATAATTTCTTGAAAGATGAGTCTAGGCTCTTTTTTGATCATGGCTTTCAGATAGTCCAATAATTTTTAAATTCTCTCTCCTGGATCTATTTTCCAGGTCAGTTGTTTTTCCAATGAGATATTTTCACATTGTTTCTAATTTTTCATTCTTTTGGATTTGTTTTACAGTGTCTTGATTTCTCATAAAGTCACTAGTTTCCAATTGCTCTATTCTAATTTTTAAGGAAGTATTTTCTTCAGTAAGCTTTTGGACTTCCTTTTCCATTTGGCCAATTTTCTTTTTAGGGCATTTTCTCCTCATTGGCTTTTTGGACTTCTTTTGCCATTTGGGTTAGGCTATTTTTTAAGGTGTTATTTTCTTCAGTATTTTTTTGGGTCTCCTTTAGCAAGCTGTTGACTTGTTTTTCATGATTTTCTTGCATCACTCTCATTTCTCTTCCCAGTTTTTCCTCTACTTCCCTTACTTGCTTCTCAAAATCCCTTTTGAGCTCTTCCAAGGCCTGGGACTGATTCATATTTTTCTTGGAGGCTTTGGATGTAGGAGCTTTGACTTTGTTGTCTTCTTCTGGTTGTATATTTTGATCTTCTTTGTCACCAAAGTAAGATAATATAGTCTGACTCTTTTTGTGCTGCTTGCTCATGATCCCAGCCAATTACTTGAGTTTTAAACTCTTTGTTAAGGTAAGAGTCTGCTTCCAATGTGGAGAGTGTACTGTCCCAAGCTTCAAGGGTTTGTATAGCTGTTTTCAGAGATACTTGTAGGGACCTGTAAATTTTCAGTTCTTGCAAGGTGGTATGATAAGGGGAGAGGTATTTACTCCTTTCCTGGCCTGTGACTACAAGTACTCCTTTCTGTCCTGTAACTGTGAGGAGGGGTTCCTGTCCACAGCCACTACAAGCTCCACCATGCCAGCACTCCTCCTCACCCCAGCACTGCTGCCCAGAACTGTGACCCAGATCCAAACATGGGAAAAGCAAGAGATTCCTGCCTCAGCACTGGCAAGGAGATCCCTGCAATCCCTCTCTGATCAGCCACTGGATTCCCCCTCAGTCTCTGGGCCAGAAGCTCGTGAAGCAGCTGCCCCTCCCAGCGTCATGCTCTTGGGGAATGGAGCTGAAACCCCACCTTCCTCTCTGAGCACCGACAGAAACAGACTTTTTCCATTGATCTAAATTGTCTTTGGCATTGTGGATTGAGGAATCTGGAAACCACCACAGCTGCCTGCAATTCAGTTCTCTGACGCCTGCTCCAGGTTTGCTGTGGCCTCCGCACCCACATTGCGCTGTGCTGCACTCCCAGTCCAGCATGATACACCTTTCTCATCAATCATCCAGGTTGTCTTGGGCTGGAAATTTGTTTCACTCTGTCGTTTTGTGGATTCTGCTGCTTCAGAATTTGTTTAGAGCCATTTTTTATGAGTATTTGGAGAGGTTTGGGGGAGAGATCAAGCAAGTCACTGCTTTCACTCCGCCATCTTGGCTCCGCCCCTGAAATCCCAATTGTTTCACTTACTACTTTGTGACCTTCAACAAATCACTCTTCCTTGCTGAGTCTCAGTTTCCTCATTTGTAAAATGAAGGTGGTTGAAAGTCCATAGTCGCTTCCAGCTCTGAGTCAACACAAGCTCAAGAGGAATCAGTAGTGTGAAGCAGCAGATAAGAAAGATGATGGGATCTTGGCCAGTGTTTGGAGAGGCTTCATTTCCACAAGTAAGGAGTTGTTAGATCTGCTGTGCTCTGGCCTAGTCAGACTCCATCTGGAGGGTTGTGGTCACATGATCCATTTCTGGTTGAGCATCGACATCTTAGAGAGTAGACTGGATGGCAAACCTAAACAGACAATTTCTTGATGAAGCCACAATGACTCTGTAATCTGCTGCCCTTTCTAGATATTCATCAATTGTCCTTTTATTGATCTCCTGTAAACTTTCCAAAGAATCAGAGTTAAGCTCACTGGCCCATAGTTTTCCATGTTCTGTTTTCTTCCCTTTTTTGAAAATAGGGACAATATTTTACCCTTCTCCAAAACTGTGGCAACTCAATTTTCCATAATCTTTCCAATTAACCATTTGATACTCAGGTCATTTTTTGTTCAGATAATTCCAGTGCAAAGGTCATTTTCTTCGACAGAGGATACAGAGGCAAAATAAGATTTGAGTGGCTATTCCTTCTCTCTGTTATCAGTTACTGTCATCCCATCTATGCAGGGGTATGCTGGTAAATATTTAACAACTAGCTTGTGTTGGGGTGGGGGGTGACTGGGGGACATACTCATAACATACGTTTAAGTTTCCCCTACATTATCAATATTTTCACCATCTCCTAAATCTATATAATTAACAAAAAGATAATTCAAGCCCTGCTTTGAAGTGCTTGCTTATTTTTAAGGGGTAAATTAAAATTTAATAATCAGTCATCACTCCAGCACACCCCTGTATCTATGCCAAGCAAAAGCATCTATCCCTTCTTTGGTCTTTTTTTTTCTTCTCTAAATTAAGCTTTAAAAATCATTTGTCTCCTTAGCCCTTACCAGCCTCAGATGATTTTGAGCTTTAGCACTCCTGATACTGTTTTTCCTGTGGACTGTGCCATACTCACATTCATTCTCTGTTACCTGGCCTTGCTTCCAACTCCTGTAGATTCCTTTTAAAAATGTAAGTTGGTTGGTAAGTTGCCTGTGTATTCACATTGGTCTTTTTAGACATATCTCATTTTTCCCTGCTAATTGGAATTGCTTCCCTTTCTATCTTGAGAATTTAATTCTTGGGCATCTCCTATCCATCCTAAGCTGACTTCCTCTGGAGAATTTTAGTCCATAGAATTCTACTTTTCTTCCTTCAGAACTCTTAGAAATATGCTTTCCCAAAATCTAAGGTATATGTCATACTGTGCCTGAATTTCTTCTTCTTCTCTATCATAAACTGGAGGTGGAAGTGGTCACTTCCCGTTCCTATTATTTCTACTCCAGCAACCAATTATTCCCTGCTATTGAGAATCAGGTCCAGAATAGACTTTCTCCTTATTGGTTCCTCCACCTTTTGAAGGATGAAATTAAAATAGGGCAAGTCAAGAAGTTATTATGGCTGTACTATTGGCAAAAAAGAGAGGTCCAGCAGATATCTGAATAAATTGAAGTTACCCATCACTACTATATCTCTGTGTCTCTGTGCCAGGCTTATGATGTTTCCCAAATTCCCTATGTATTTCTTCTTTCTGCACAGGTGGTCTATAGTATAGTCCAATGTCAAAATCACTTCTTTTCTCTCTCCATTGACTCTTGAAGGTGCTTCCTCACTATGGTTCCTGGATTTGGTCATATAAGTATGCCTTCTTAACATGCAGAAAGTATATTAAAGTATATTATCACTTTTGGCTCTTATGGATCGCTTGGTTTTGTCAAATTGCATTTTTTGTCTCCTTTTACTTTAAAAATATTTGTTACAAGGAATGGTTCACTTGTAGAAGAAAGGGTAGCTGTATTTGGAAATGAAGGTGATGTAAAAACAGAAGATGTCAATAAAGATAAGATTGTTTTATAGAAAAGGAAAATCTTTGATTAGGAATGCTGAACAAACTGTAGTTCAGAAATGTAATGGAATCCTACTGTGCTATAAAAATGATAAATAGCAAGAATTTGAAGAAATACTCTAAGACTTGTATGCAGAGACAAATGAGCAGAACCAGGAGAACAATTTACATGATGACCAAATTGTGTAAAGGAAAACAGTACTGGAAAGACCTGGGAACTCCATTACAGTGACCAATGAGAACTTCAGAGAACTGGTATAGAATAAGGCACACACTTTCTAGAGGCAGCCAAAGTGTTCATTTGTTTTGTTTTGCTTTGTTTTGTACTTATCTGTTAGAAGGGAGTTTTGTGGAGAGCGGTAATTAAAAAAAAAAAAGTGACAGCTATACTCTTAGGACCCGTATAAGATGAAAGTACAATTACAATGGTGCCCAACTTCTAGGTCAGAACTTCTTATCTTTTTGGTGTCATTGGAAGTCTGCTGACCTAGTCTCAGAATATTATTTGCACATTAGAAATTAACGTGAAATTTTCAGTTAAGAGGTCAATGAAAATAAAGTTGTAATTTTTCCCCCATCCAAGTTCGCAGACACTATGAAATGTATTCACCTCTTCCCTTAGGGGTCTGTAGACCCCAGATGAAGGCTCCTTGTTCAAATCTTGCCTCACACACTGTCTAGTTATGTGACTCAGAATTATGTGACCTCTCTGACTTATTAACCTCATCTGTAAATTTGAGATAATAATAGCACCTATGTCTCAGGCTTGCTGTGAGGATCGAGTGATATATGTAAAGTGGTTTACAAACTTTAAAGTATTATATAAATGTTTATTATTATTATTATATTACTAATTACTTGCACCTGTCAGCCCAATTTTTGATAGGACACAAACTCCCCTTCCTAAGACTTCAGAACATGGCTCACAATCTCCCTCTCCAACTAAGTCCTTACTAACATTCTCAGTCCAGCTCTGGACAGTCTCTTGTCCTACCTGTCCTCTGACTCACTCCTGCTGAACCCACTCTGATGGCCTTCTCATATACTCCAGTCCCTGGATCTTCTTCAAGTCTTCACCTCAGGACCCCTCCCCTTACCTCTTTCTCTGACTCTTCACCCTTCCCTTTTTCTCCCCCTCCTTCCCCTCCCTCCCCATTTTCCTTCCCTTCCCCCATTCCCACCCTTCCCTCCATCCTTTCTCCTTCTTCTCTTCCTCAGCCTAGATGATGCCATGGTGGAAACGGCCGAGGAGACCACAGAGCCTGCTGAGGCGGACATCACAGGGCTGTGCCAGGACGTGTTCTCCAAAATGACCACGTACCTGACAGGTGAGCTGACAGCCACCCGTGAAGACTATAAACTTCTGGAAAATATGAACAAACTGACTAGCTTGAAGTATCTAGAAATGAGAGATATTGCAGTAAACATAAGTAGAAACCTAAAGGACTTAAACCAGAAATCTGCAGCACTTCAGCCTTATCTGGATCAGGTCGCTTTAACTGAGGAGCAAGTAGCAGCCCTTGACCAGGCGCTTACAAGTTGGATGCATATTCAAAGAAGCTAGAAGCAAAGTACAAGAAGTTAGAGAGGTGAGGAAAGGATTTATCAGCACAAAGACTTTAACTACAAGAATGTTTCGTAAGAGCTGAAATAAGTGGGATGGAATTTATCACTATGCTTCAGTTCCTAAAAGGAGGCGGTGCTGCTGATCCAAGAAGAATCCCAGCCCCAACCTCTGCTTGGATGGGTAACTTTGGCCAGCCTTTGATGTTTCTTAAACCTGTAGTCCCTGGAAACTCATCTTATCGTGGGCTTCATTGTGTGCCCTGGACCAAGGCTCAGAAATCAGAATGAACCCTGTCTACAGCAGACACAGAGAGGCTGTCGTCTCCCTGTCTCCTCCCTTCTTCCCCCTCCCCTAGGGCTCCACCTTGGACTCTGTTATGAATGTGCCCCCCATCCCCTTCATAACCTGTTCTTCAACTTAAACAATAAATGCCGACTTATGATCCTTAAAAAAAAAAAGTCTTCAGTTCTACCTTCGCTTCCTGCCTTTAGTCTTGACCCTCTTTATAGTCAGCCATTTTAATAAAGTGCTTTCTTGCCCCTTAGAGCCTTGTCCACCTGGTCCCTCTGCTGTGTCTATGACATTAATCTCTACGAGTCACTTTTCTCGACTCCCACCAGCAGTCACTAAATTTTGCTGACCTAGTCAGCTACTTATTCATGTTACTTACCTTTTACTGGATCCTCAGCACAAGTCATTTTCATTCATATCTGATTGTCTCCCTACCATACTCCCCACACTTGCTGTTCCAAACCTTGTCTTTTCTCAGATTCCCATCTCTATGTTACATCTCAGAAGATAAGTTGTCTTGTACTCTATCTACCAAGAAGATGAATTGACCCTCCTCCTCCTTGTGAAAATGAACCCCCTTCATTTGTGTCCTTCATCCCATTCCCCTCCTGTCTCCTCCAATATCTTACTTCTTTGAATATTCCATTTCTCTCTCATTTTCAGTTTCTTCTTCTTTACTGACTCTTTCCACTCTGTTTACCAAGATGTTTAAGTCTCCCTTATCATTAAAAAAAGATAATAATGAACAAAAAGCCCTCCTTTAACTCAGGAAAGCGTTAAGCTATTGTAGTATACCTTTCCTCTTTGCTGCTAAAGTTCTAGGGGAAAAAAAGGGAATCTATATTCTTTACTTTTGCTTTCTCATCATTCATTCCTATGACTCTTTCTAGTCTGTCTCCTGCACTCTACTAAAATGACTATACAAGGTCATCAATGACCTCTTAATTGCTAAATTCAATGGCCTTTTCTCAGTCTTCATTCCTACTGACCTTTTTGTAGCATTTGACACTTTTGGCTATCCCTCCTTTTGACATTCTTTCCTCTTGTGGCTTCCATGATGCTGCTGTATCCAGGTTCTCTCACTGCTGACTCTCATACTTCTCAATCTCTTGATGGTTCTTCTTCTCCCTTTGATTTCCTAACTATCCACCAATGTGCAGTCCCAGAAGGATAAAGCATACATCTCTATGGCTTCAAATATCATCTCCCTGCGAATGTCTCCTCAGACTAAATATTCAATTCCCTTCTCTCTCTTTAGCTCCAGTCCTAAATTTCCACCTGTTTGCAGGATGTCCCAACTGACAGCTTAAACAAGATGTGCTAAAAATGAAATTCCACTTCCCAGTGAAATCTACCCCTCCTCCCAATAAATATTCCAAATGAAACATTACTAAACTCCCAAGAACCCAGGACTCAAAATCAGAGGTCCATTTTTACCTCTACACTTTCTCTACTCTCTCCCTTTTCCTCACATCCAAACGGGTGCCCAATACTGTCAGTTCTGTGTTTGCATTCTCTCTTCCACTTTTCCCTGTATACCCCATGAATACTATCACTACTCTAGTTTGGAATCTCACACTTGGACTAATCTAATAGCCTCCTAACAGGACTCTCCCCTCTTTAATCCATCTTTCAAATGATAGTCTTATCAAATTGATATTCCTAATAAAGAGTTCTATGTCATTTCCATTCTCAAAAATCTTCAGTTACTCTCTGCTTTCTATTGGATAAAATACAATCCACAGTCTGGCTCTGACCTACTTTTTTGTCCTTATTTTATACTATACCCCTTTATACACTGCATATTTCAGACAAACTGTACTAGTTGCATTTTTCCAAACATCCTTCACACTCCTTCGTCTGTGTTTATGCAAAACATTTCCTGTCCTGAAGCACATTCCTCTTCTTCCTTCCAGGGCCAGCAAGCATACTATTACCACAGTGAAGCCTTCCTTGATTTCCACAACTGCAAGTGACTTTTCCTTCCTCTGATCACCTTAAAGCACCTTCTTTAGATCCATAGTTAGCAACTATCTCTTTCTACATGGTATCATATTTATTTATGAATGACACCTCTGCTTTTAGACCATAAATTCCTTGAGAACAGAAACAAAGTAAATTTCCACTTAACACAGTGTCATGTGCATAACAGACACTTTTTTAAAAAGTTGAAATCAAATGCATAGATTTCCTTTAAGTGCGTTCATTGATGTCCTGTTCCTTACTAAGTGAAGTTCAATCTCCTATGAATGAATGAGTGAACAAATGAATGCATGAGTGAAAAAGCGTTTGCTAAGCACTTACAGTGCCAAGCACTGGACCTGGCAATAATGGCTCTTCACCATCTGCTGCTAACTTGCTTTTTCAGCTTCCTTTATACCCTTCTCCCCATATTCTTTGCTTCAGCCAACCCAGCCTACTCTCTGATCATTGCCCGTACATACATAGCACTTCATTGCCTCCAGACCTTGTCTCATGCTGTTCCTTATGCCAGTGCAGTGACCAAGGGATTAAATTGGTGTTGGGAAAGACAGAGAGATTAGGTGAGGAAGATAAGCCTTGACAAGGACCCTAGTTTGAGTCCAATGGTATGAAGGTTGATAGCACATTCTGTGGCTTAAAGGGAATAATAAGAATTGTTCTCCCTTCTCTAACAGCAGTGTCAGAAGAATGTGGTCACTTTCTAATGATTGATTTCTGACACCTAGGACTACTGTGCACTAACCCTATGAAAGGAGAGTTGCTATGCAGTGAAGGAGAAAGAGGCTCTGGAAAAGGCTGAGAGCAAGATGACTCAAGTTTGTGAGCGAAGAATAGATGATCACTTTCAGTGAGTGACATCAGGGAAGGCTTCATGGAGGTGGTGGCATTGTAGTTGACCCTTGAAGGAAGAGGAAGATTTCAAAAGGTGGACATGTGTAGGGAATATGTTCCAGGAATAGGAGATGTCCTGAAAAAACATATGGAGGCATGATAGCACAGGCAGGATAGCACAGTATGTTTGAGGAACAGCACTAGTCAGTGGGTCTTTTCACTGGCCATCCCCCATGCTTGGAATATACTTCCTCTTCACCTCCACATTATAGAATCTCTCACTTTCTTCAAAATGCAGCTCAAGCACCACCTTCTTCAAGAAGTCTTTCCTCATTTCCTGAATTACTAGTGCCCTCTCTCCCTAACTACTTTAAACTTAACTACCTTGTATTTTTTGGCATGTTTGTATGTGTGTATGTATGTATGCACACATACATACATATGTACACACCATGTGTATATATGTGAATATGTGTACATATATACACGTGCGTATACACACATATCCACATATTGTATATAACCAAAAATATTTTAAATATACATAAAATACATAAAATATCTAAATATAAATAAAATGTTGAAGGTATAGATACATAATACACATATATATTCACTTGGTAAATACTTATATATGTACATGTTATCCCCCCCAATACAATGTAAGTCCATTGAGAATAGAATTGTTTTGTGCTTTGCCACTGTATACCTAATACTTAGCACAGTGCCTGAGATAGATATAGATAAATACAAATATCAGGCTTGTTCATTGAGTGATTAATGTGAGAGAGGCAGCATATCAAGAGTATTGGATTTGGAATCAGAGAACCTGGATTCTAATCCTGCCTCTCTCACATACTACCTATGTGACCTTGAGCAAGTAATTTAATTTCTCTGGATTTCAGTTTCTGTATCTGCAAAATGACGGAATAAGTCTATATGGCCTCTAAAGGTCCCCCAGCTCTACATCTATGATTTTATGATCTATGATGCTATAAGAAAAGAATTCTTTTCAAGTTTAGGTTGGTCTAGGTGGCCTCCATGGTGCCTCCCAATTCAGAGATTGTCTGATTCTATTTGTAAAAGATAAATGGAAATCAGGCTCCAAATAGAGGTGTGTGGGGCTTAGTACTTGTTATAAAATATATACAATCCTATAATAATCTTAAAGTTTGATGTAAATATGTGATAAGGGGGAATGCCTCCACTTTGTGGTAAGATTCTTTGGGCAGAAAGGTAGAAATGAAGTTTAAAAGGCATTATAATAGATGTAATGGAATATACTGAGTTGGCCAACTATAATTTATGAAGCACCCATGTGTCAGGCACTGTGCTAAGTGCCAGGATTGCAAAGAGAGGCGAAAGACAGTCCTTTCCCTCAAGCTACTGACAGTCTAATGGGAGAAACAGTTTGCAATAACTATATGTAAACATACAATAGACAGAATCAATTGTAGATAATCAACAGAGGGAAGGAACTAGTAGTAAAGTGGATCAGGAAAGGTTTCTTATAAAAGATGATATTATAGCTGGGTCTTGAAGGAAGCCAGGGAAGCTAATGGGAGGAGATGAGGACATTCTGTGCTATAAGGAGTGTTGAATATGAGAATTCAAAGGAGTGTGAGAATATTTATATGAATTGATCAGGGTCAGAAAAACAATATACATTTCTATGACAATGTAAATGGAAAGAACTTTTTTTCAAATGAAACTGAATATCATGTAATCATAATGACTAAGTCTGGCCCCCAAGGAGAGATGAGAAAATGAATATGAACATCGCATATACTATCAGACTCAGCTGATATGTTAGTTGGTTTTGCTGAACGTTTTTTCCTTTCTCTCTTTTTTTATTCTGTATTAGGAGGAAGAAAAGGGAATAAGTATTTGTA